ATATATATATATATATATATATATATATATATATATATATATATATATATATATGTATATGTATATGTACTGTGGTGTCTTGCTGCAGGAGCATGCCTGCCGCCTCTGTACGATGGATCCCGCCAGCGGGGATTCCCTCACGCCATGCGGCTCACTGAGAACGAGTGGCTGCTGCTGTTGCTGTTCTTGTCTTTCTTGTGCTGCAACTGCGATGCATGAGAAAGAAGTAGGAGAGAAATATGTAGCTGAACACGACGCACCTGTATATTGAGTTGCGTCATTTTCTCCTTAATTTCCACTCATTTGGGGTTTAAACAAATGTAACGATGGAGGGAATTNTGAGTTGCGTCATTTTCTCCTTAATTTCCACTCATTTGGGGTTTAAACAAATGTAACGATGGAGGGAATTAAGACATCCCGCTCAGTCGCTTGACTGCTTGCTTATGCATAACAGAAACAGCAGCAGGCGGCACGCGGTTGCTCCGGAGGAGCACTCTGGGTGTATACTGCGACCTGTTGTGTTTTCGTGTTTAAAGAAAGCACTATATAGAAATAGAAAAATATTAAATAAAAAAGAATACAGTAGTGGAGTTATGTTACTGATTAGGATACAAGTGAAACACCCGTCAGGAATCCTAGCTTGAGCTGTGCGATCTGCGGTGTACAGACAGCTGAGCATGTAGCTGCTAGTGGTAGGTGGTAAGCTGTTGTTTTTGATGGAAAAAACAGCTCATAAAACGCTGAAAAAGACGTATTGTTTTATTTTTTATTTATTTATATTGCCAGAGAAGTTTGTGCAGAAGTTGCAGCAAAAATAACGGCGAATCCCGCTCTCGTGTTCATGTTCTGATTCATGTTGAACTGGTTCCGGTGACAACGAGAGTAGCGAGATCAGGTGGAAAGCTGAGGGAAACCTGAAGATAAAAGCTCTCTCGATTCAAATAAATAAAGTAAAATACTTTATTCATCTTTTGAATCAAAAGATTTTTTCAATTCTTTTTATATTCATGAATACCAGGCGCCATCGATCCTCATTCGGGGCTGTACATATATATACATATATATATATGTCTGTCAGCCGCAGTCATTCTTTCGCCCGCCAGTCTCCTCCCCGCACTCTGTTTGTTTGTTTTCTCGATACAAAGAGATACCGGTGAGCATTGCCTTGACGCATACTATGTGAAATAAACATTTATTTTTCTAAGCAGCTCTGAAACTATACAAGAAGAAGAAAGCAACTCCTCTCTGCGTTGCTGCGGGAACGCGGGGCCAGTAGTAGTAAGCCAGGATTCGTGGGCTATACGTTCAATCTGCCTGTTGGCTTGACACTGCAGCCGTATTTACCTTTTTCCGATTACTTTTATTTTTTTATTAAATTCCTTTTTTTTTTTCTTTAGCTGCTGCAGCATCACCGCTGCTGCTCTCTACTCGCAGCTGCCTCCAGCTGTCATCAGTCCTTATGCACCGGTACGGACTCGCCAATAGAAAGCAACAATACTTTGGCTTATCTTCTGCTGCCTTCTAGCGGCTTGAGAGCCCCAAGTAAACAGCAGCATAGATACAGCTCTTCATGCTTTCTCTTCTCAGCTCAGATGCAGACGCAGAGACATAACAACACGCCTCAATGAGGCCCACCCCGCTGCTGCAGCACCGCGTCCTTCAGGGCCTGCAGGGGAAGCGATAGGGGCAGTCTTCCCCAGCCCCTGCTCCTCCTCTTCCTTCTTAGATTCTCTGCAGCAGCAGCAATGGAGCAGCAACAGCAGCAGCTGCTGCACTTGCACTTGCCTCCCCTTGAGGCCCAGGTGAGTCTGCGTAACGCTTGCTGCTATTCAAACTGCTGCTGTCAGGTCCCCCCAGCAGAGCCAGC